TCACATATGTTATTAATTTACAATTATATGAGAAGTTGCATATACAGGACATGGAAGGATTGACTGCAAACATCCAGCTTGGAAAGATAATGGAGCCAGACTTGGGAATCCACAAGTGAACTATATTTCAGTAGTTGCTTGGCACAGCAGCAAAAAAAAAAGAAAATGAGTTGGTCACAGCAAAGACAAAAACTTTCTCACCCTCCTTGTTTCCTCACCATCATCTGAAAAGCCAGCACCGATGATAACACAAATGGAAGAATTACTTGTTCACTGAAAACTCAAGGATTCTACAAGTTTCACTAGTACTGAGGCTATAAGACATCATTTAAACAGTTGTGGTCTCAGGTTCAATGATAAGAACTAAAGCACTCTAAGAACATATACTTAAAAATGCATGTTCTTTATTTTACTATAATACTTGAAAGTTTCCTCTTTTTAAACTTTATATCTGTTGTTGTGATCCTAGCTGATGGTAATATTGGACAAGTCAGGGTGTAACATGCTTGATAGGGGATCAATTTTATTTTTCCTTTCGTTTACCAAGGAGGTCACTCATTGAACCTTTTCACAGGAGACTGACAACGTACCTTTAACAAAGGAATATAAAAGGTTGTTACACAAAGGAAAACTTCTATGCACTGTGACCAGGGACCTCATAATCTTATAGATCTCTCTGCTCTAAAGAAAACAACTTGAGTTTATCCAGCCTCTCTTTGTAGCTAATTCTTCATCAGGGATAACGGTGAGTCTATCAGTGCTTTCCATTATTCAAGAATAAGTTGGAAAGCAACATTTCAGGGACGAGTTAAACAAGAAATCCAGAAGTTGATGCCCTAAGTTGCCCTGCTTTCCCAGAAGCTTCATGGGATCAACACCTCACTAAAATACTCTGCATTGACTCACATGGAATGCGTGAAGATGCAGCACTTACCACTGAGGACATACTAAACATCCCGGTTAGGCTGAGATTTGTCCATTCAAGTATATGTATAACCTTAATGGTTTATAAGAACTACTTACCACCAATCTCTGTGGCATTGCAAATTTATAAAGGAGGAGCCCCAGTCCTTCAGACTTAATCATTCTGTGAATTTTCTTTTAGAATAATATTAAGAATATGTTACTTTTCTTTAATCCATGTTGTTCGGTCTTAATTATATCTTCATTTTCCTCACCTTGTTTTGTTTTCAAACTATAACTTTACATTAAATAAAGAATTCTAACATGCCACTTGGTTTGAACTCTCAGTAAAAATTCATCAATCTGATTGGTTGAAGAGATACGATACCGAGATCTGCCGTAACAGGCACTGCTCTGTTTTGGATTCCCAGCAACTAGAAATTCTGGAAACTAGAAACTTGCAAAACTAAAGCTTGCAATGGGTTTGTGGACAGGTGTAAACATGCCAAACAGCAGAAAAGAAACAGAATTCGGGGGGAAACAGGAATTTCTGCAACTCCTCAGGAACTCTCGAAAGCAGAATCGACAAGAGCAAAAAGAGTAAAAATTTCAGGTCAATAACTTTTTATTAGAACACTGTATTATCAGCATATTTTCTTTCCACTATCATCAAGAGGTGGAGGTGCTGGTGTTGGACTGGGGTGGACAAAGTCAGAAATCACATGACACCAGGTTATAATCCAACAGGTTTATTTGAAATCACAAGCTTTCAGAGTGCTGCTTCTTCATCAGGTGAAGTGAAGAAAAGCACGCAGGCACAGAATTTATTGGTAGACAGATCAATAGGCAGGGAGATCAAAAGGTTTATTTGAAATCACAAGCTTTCACACTGCTGCTTCTTCGTCAGGTGAAGTGAAGAAAAGCACACAGGCACAGCATTTATAGGCGGAGAGATGAATAGGCAGGGAGATCAAAAGATCATACAAATGGTGTGAGTGGAGTGTCGACAGGCTGAATGATAAGTCTCTGCAGGTGATCAAAAGTGTCAGACAGTGTGAGTAAAGTGTCAACAGCTGAATAACAAGTGAAGGGTTGACCTATAATCAGATCAATTGAGGCAGAGAGATAATTACAAAAAAATTTAAAATAACGTGGTGCTAGAGACAAATGGCTGGAATAACGTGATAGGTATAAGAGTCGCATGCCGAGGGTCTAACCAAAGTAACAAGTAATCCAAAACTGTGCAAACTAATTAACGTAGAGAGATCATAACAAGTTGTCAAGGTGATGGTGTCAAAACAGGACAGTAAGGAAGATTTTACAAATACACATCAGTATGGTAGAGCTACATGTAGCACAACATGAACCCAGGATAAAGAAGCTATCCCCTAAGGACATGGCCTGCGTAAACACAGGATCTGCTCAGACAAGGAGGAGCATGATGGACACCTAAAGATGCTGAAAGACACCCTCATAAGAACAGGATATGATGCTCAACTCATCTATCACCAGTTCTGCAGTGCCACAGCAAAAAACTGCAAAGACCTCCTTGGAAGACAGACACAGGACACGACTGACAGGGTGCCCTTCATCATCCAGTACTTCACTAGAGTGGAGAAACTAAGCCATGTTCTTCGCAGCCTTCAACATGTCACTGATGATGATGAACATCTCGCCAAGGTCATCCCTACGCCCCAATGTCTCACCTTTAAACAACCGCCAAACTTTAAACAGACTATCATTTACAGCAAACTACCCAGCCTTCAGGACAACATTGACCACAACACCACACAACCCTGTCATGGCAACTTCTGCAAGACATGCCAGATCATCAACATGGATACTACCATCACACATGGGAACACCACCTACCATGTACACGGCAGATACTCCTAAGACTCGACAAATGTTGTCTACATCATATGCTGCAGACAAG